ATACATTATAGAACTCAGGCACAAACAGGTGAATTGCCTGCCCGTGTCTTCTGGTAGTGTGGGCAGTGGGAGAATTTACTGGAATGGTATGGAAAAAGATGTCAATTTGGATTCCATATTCCCACCTACCTCATTTTGGTTGCTCAGAATTTGAAGGCAGCTATTGATGGAGTGAAATGTCTTAATAATAAATAGTCATTACATCAACTTTCCCCCGGAACAGTAAGTAAAATAGAGTAATATAATTGTAAGTACCGTTAAAGGAAATGATTTGCTCATTTTTCTTTTCCCAGGATGAATCCATCCCAGACACTAATTTTCAGGTGAAAACAAGTACCTATACTGTGCAGGGAAGAGTCAGTCAGAGGTGATTTGAACCCAGGGTTGTCTTCTAAGGAACCCTGGGGGTACAGTGTTACCCATTGGACTGTGATCCTCATAGTCTGCAGTTCAAAACCACCAGCAGCCTTGTGGGAGAAAGACTGGACTTCCAACTCCGGTAAACAGTTATAATCTCGGAAACCCAGAGGTTAGGGAATGAGTCAGCATTGACTCGATGGCAGTGAGTAGGTCTTCTAGTCGTGAACACTGTCATTGGAGAAAATAGGCAAGTGCGTACACAACCTGGGCTAAATGTAGGCAGGCAACAGGCCCTGTAGGAATGGCTGCCCCAAATGATGAAGAAAAGTTTGGAAGGATCCAAACTAGTTTGGAAGAATGCAGAGATGCTTCGGAAGGAGGAAAGGGTATATCTGACTGAGAGATTACCTGTGCATATTGAGAGGAGAAATGCAAGGGAACGGGGTGAAGAAGCAGCAGCAATCCGAAAGTCAAGCTCACTGCCCACCAAGGTGAAGCCGGTCTACAGCAAACCCCTAGTAGGGAGAAGAATTGCCCCTGGAGGTTCTGAGACTGTAACTCTATGGGAGTAGAAAGCCTCCTTTCTCCCACGGAGTGGCTTGGTGGTTTTGCACTGCTGTCCTTGTGGTTAGCAGCCCACCACAGAATCACTGCCCCAGATGTGAAAAGCTGGACTCCCCAGGACAGCATTAGCCACTGCAGAGTTCTAGGTTTTGTGCAAAGTTGAGTTACACAGATCTCCTTGTTCTGGGTAGACACATATGCAGGCTTTCTCTCGTACGTGGAAGCAAAGCCTGCCATAAAAGCAAAAACTGCACTGACCAAACAGGTTTTCCTGGACAAAGCAGAGACTGTTATCTTCACAATGATTTTCTGAGTAAGTTTTCAAGCCTCCCATTTCTGGTTAACTCTCGACTCCAGAAAAGCATATAACTAACCAGATTTTCCAATGGAGGCTCAGGTCATAGGGGCTGCTGCCAAAGCTTTTTCTGCTTTAAAAGTGATTTGACCGGAAAGGATAATCTCCACAGGAGTTGAGAGTGAATAATACCTGGAAGTTAGACTTCCAAAGATGATGCGTACCAAGCTGCATTTCAGATAGGGACATTTGGAATGATCAGAACTGCTTTCCCGGGGATCGAGCTGGCCCCTCCAAGGGCGGCTTTATGCTTCCCCATTGCCCTTTGCCAGACCTGTTCTTACCTTTCTTCTTACAGCACTCACTGCAGGCAGTATTTTCACAGCCAACGTCGAGACATATTTCGGAAATATTTACTCATTAGAATCAGACAAAACCAAACTAAACCACTGCTGTCGTCAATTCTGACTCACAGCGACCCAGCAGGAAGGAGCAGAACTGCCCCACAGTTCCCAAGGCTTCACATCTTTCTCCTGTGGGGCAGCGGGCAGGTGTGAGCTGCCGACCTTTGGGTTAGCAGGCAAGGGCTCATGCAGGGCACCACCAGGGTTCCTTAGAATCAGACCACAGAATTAAAATGACATCTGTAATTTGAGTTTTATGCCACTTCGCTGGTTTTAGATGTCTGTGATTACTGAACATGCTACATTATTCCTCGGGGCAAATGAGAGAATGAAGGAGGGAATGGAGTAAAGACTATCATTTAAGTGACAAAGGAGGATCAGAGAAGTAAAGGTACAAAAACAGATTAGCAGGCGCTGAGAAAGGAAAGCTCATTTACTAAGGTTTTCTGGGTTGATCTGGCACTATCTGGTCTCTCTTTTCTACTCACGCCTAGAGGGAACATTTATATTCCTGGTTTTTCCAAAGTTTTCTGTACTAAAGACACAAAGATTCAATTGATTCCTTTTACGCAGGAACCCTACACCGCCAGCTGTACAGTTATTAGCCTGAGAGAAGATAGGTATTGTAGTGTCTGCAGCCAAGATTATAGCCTACTGCCTAACCTGATTGAAAAGGAACTGGAAACATTTCATTTTCACTGTCAAGACCTGTCAAAATGGTGCTAGGAACTTAATATCTATTGTAATATTTGGGTGGGGGGGTGGTAAACATATAAATCTGACCTGGTCATGAATGTAAATAAAGAAAACGTTTGGAGAAAACACTCATCAAGGTCATGCCCGTTTGCATTTTGTCGAGCTCCCGTATTCTGCCGTGGTGGTGACTGAAGAGGAGGGCCTTTCATGTCCCTTCTTCCCAGAGATGAGACGCAGCAGTCGTTGGCCTACCAATGTCCGAAATCTGGGGTCAACCACCTAGGAGCTTCCGCGACTCCCACTTGGACTCGCGTTGGACAACCCAATTCACTGAAGAGATGCGTTCTTTTGGTTTGCCAGGGAAATAAAATCGGTGACCCAAAGGAAAAGGAGTGCTGGTAAACATGGTTGAAATCTACCTTAGTGAGTGCACCTTACTTTGTGTAAATTCACCCTGACAAACGGTGTCAGAAAATGCAAGCAGAAGCCTAAGAAACCTGTAAAGCAATCTGTATGTATGGCATGATAATAAATCATCTAAGAGGCCACCAAAACTTTGTGTCTTGTGATCTGAAATGTTATTGCTCTTCAAGACACTTGTAGAGATTTTCCTTACATCTCACAAAGGATCACTGGACTGTTTTCCTGCTCTTTGAGATAAAGTTGTAGATTGTGTCTGATAGCATTTTTAATAGGCAATGTTCAGAGTTATTTCCTAGAGAATAAATCATAACATTATTAGCTAAAAGGGAACGTTAGTAATCCTTCATATAATAAGCTTATTTAAGGATGAGAAAATTGACCTCCAGAGTTTTGACTTCCCTGTTGTTGCGGTTAGCAGCTGAGAAAGGAGCAGACGCGCATTGCTCCCCTCCTAGCTCAGTGCTCTCAACACTGGAAAATCAATTCTCTGGACATAAATCACTTTCAATAATTCATATAACACTGACTTTCCTCTATATTTAAAAAGCACAGAAAATTATCAATATAACACCCTTTACATGTAACCATATTTTCTTGGGGGGAGGGGAATTAATTTTTCTTAAAAACATTTTAATCATATTGGAAACCTTTTTACATACTGACATTATATAGAATATATAAAATAACATATATATATATAATTACATTCCTTGAGAAGGCTATCTTGCTTGGTAAAGTACAAAACAGTGAAAAAAGAGGAAGACCGTCTAGGAAACAGATGAATGGCCGCACCAGTGAGCTCACACACAGCTATGATTGTGAGGCGGGGCAGGACCAGTTTTAGTGCATGGTCGCAGAGTTGCTATGAATCAGAACCAACTCAATGGCACCTAATAACTACATCAGTGGACACTCTTGCTTTTCTTCTCAGAAACATGTATCTACATGATCAGTCTCTTTACCCCCCAATCCGTATCATTACACAAGCTTTTTGCTGTCTCAGCAAATGAATCCTAAGGAAATAATTCTAATGTGAACTTTCTGGGCCAAATTATATTCAGCAATCGCCCCAAGTGGTTGGCAGGAAACACCCTGCATTTCCCTTTCTAAGAAGCTGTTTTTGGCAAAATGGTTTCTCAAGAGATCTTAAAGTCTTTAAGTTTGGCCACTCAATTAGTAAACATTTTATGAACGTTTTTCAGGGAAGAGAATGATTTTGACAGCTGGGCTTACCATTAGGGGCCCTCGTGGTGCTGTGATTGTTTGGCTGCTAACCAAAAAGCCTGCAATTCAGACTTACCAGCTGCTCTACCGGAAAAAGAAAGGGCAAGGCACTCCCATGAAGTTTTGCAGCCATGGGAACTATGAGATCTGCTTTTAAACCACACAGTATTTCCCAATTCGTCTTCCTTGCTTACAACCTTCTTATTCCAAATTGCAAAGATCAACGCATCTTGTAGACAGCAGAAGTTGCTAAGTGTTCCATGACTTCATCCCAGGTATCAGTGAATGGTGGGCAAATTTGAACGCATCCTCATCAGATGGCCTTCCTTGTAAGTGTGGGTATGATCCCATCGTTGACCAGATTGTACTTCAGGATAGATGGTAAAATGTTCTTTCACAAAGAATGCACCCTTGTTCCTTTTCAACTTATTTTTGGGACAGTTGTCCAAATTAGTGGCACTTCAGCTTACTGATACCTAGGGCATCTTTCATTCCATTTCATTTTGGACAACTGGATTCATACCCTTGGACATTCCTCATGGATTCTTTTCTTCCCATTTTGAGTCCCCTATCAGCAAAGGAAGCTTCTGAAAGTTTTACTCTATCACCATCAAGGTCAATTCTACTTTGAGGGCACAGCTTTTCCCCAGTCATTTCTGGATTGTCCTCGAACCTAAGGGGCTTACCTTCCAACACTACATCCGGCAACGTTCCATTGCTATTTGTTAGGTTTTCATTGGTGAATTTCTTAGAAGTTGGTTGCCCAGTCTTCCTTGGGAAGGTTTACTGGAACCTGTCTGCCATGGTGACCCTGCTATGAAAATACCACTGGCATCGTTTCTGGTATCACGGCATCATAAAAAGCACCCAGAACAACATGACAGATGAATGGTGGTGCAGGAGATCCGTATGTGCTTTCTGAATCTTTATTTTCTATTTTATTATTTTGTTTATCCTTAAATAAAGATATATGAAATTTGTATTCATTGGCACTTAAGATTAAAGTAATATACATAGCCCATATAAACAATCAATAAGAATGGCTAGAAATTTTTATTGTGATATATTTCAAAGCAATTCAAAATAAAGTTGCAGTAGTTTATTAAATATTCTAATTTTACATAGTGGCTCATAAAACAATTATAAACTTCTTAAAAATAAAAATCTATACATCTTATAGCTTTTGTCGAATTACAAGATACACAGCACATATGTAAAATCTTTGGAAACAACAAATGAATGAAAAATTATAATTCCAACTTTCTGTGCTTTAGGACAGTTTCTTTTATGCTCAGGTCCCACCCTTCTAGAAGCTGAGTAAGAGAGGCACGAGAGACACACTGGACAATCACGAGACACATTCTAAAGGGAAACTGGTCAGGTCACTTACTTCTCTGGAGTGAGCTCATTTATCAATCATTTTGTGATCGCTATAGTATTCATTTAATAAAAAGAAATATTTTTAACCACTCATTTCCAAGGATGCTTTTGAGTAAATAGGTAAAACTTTTATCAAAACAAATGATTCATATCTGAAAACTGAATAATTAGGGGCTTAAACTGTGCAATGTTTTCCTATTTTCTCCAGCGGCAACCTTAATTGTAACTCAGAGTTCCTAGTTTTTGATGCAAATTAAATCAACCTGAGTGCTCATAAAATGTCCTTTAGTTAGGAAAGAGAGAGGAAGGACAAAGGGAAAAACATTTTTTTAACAGGGAGACAACTTCACACATAAGATACCTGCAATTTCAGAGATGTCTGGTCTCAATGAACAATGAAAAGATTTTTAATGATTATAATCTAATACTCTAGCTGTTTTTATTATGAATAACTGCAGAACACTTAATTCTCATAATTATTAGTGTGTATTGTGTCAAACTTCAAGAACTAACAAGAAGATAACCAAACACTAATAAGAATATTTTGTGCAAAAGTGTCACTTTTTTCTTGAATAAAACCAATTTTCCCTTAAAAAGGGGGGGTGGGTGGAGTCTATGTACTGGAAACAGTACTGCACCCAACATTCCTACTTACACTTTTTCTAATACAAATTAGCTATAAGCATAGGAAGTTATCAACCACACAACCAAGTTATATCCTTTTTCCCTTTATCAAAAGTCCTAGCAAACATGGCTAAAGGGAAATAGTTGGGGGTTTATAATTTTGTTTTATTTTTTATTTTTTGACAACTATTAACCAACTGACTTCTAAAGTTCAAAGGGTCTATTTAGCACAACTTTTTAAAAGAATTTAAGAACCAGAAAATATTTCTGTTCAAGACAGTAATGTTGTAAAACTTTCTCCTTCTTATGAAGGTAAAACAAGTTGTTATATTTACTACAGACTCTGGTGCTGTTCCATACAATTAGCTATAGGCCTCAGGTGGCTAACTGAACCCTTCAACTGTGGCTAGCCTAGATTGGTAAAATATAGACTACGATACCAAGAATCAGGAAAAAAAAGAATGGTCAATTATCTCAATAACTTTATATTGATTATATATGGGAATGATAATATTTGGATATACTAAGTTGAATAAAATATGTTACTAAATTTAACATCATCTGTTTCTTTTATTCTTTTATGTGGCTGCTAGAAAATCTTAAATTACATATATGGCTCTCATTTTTCTACCCAATAGCACTGTTGTAGAAGCAACAGATTTGTAGTAATATTTAACACATCACCACAAAAAAAAGTTCCTGAGCTTAGGAAAAAGAACACTACTCTTGAAAACAAAGTCAACTATATATTCACATTATATTGGAGATAATAATCATCTAATAGTTCTTTCTATCATCTTCTAGATACTAACGAGTGTGTTGGACTTTGGTTAGCTATGAATCTGCAAACAGATACGGGGCTCTTTTGGGGTGTGGATATGTTCCCACACTGGGTTGTAGAGATGGCTGCAAAACTCTAGACTGTAAACCTCTGAATTATACATTTAACACAGACAAATGTTAAGGTACATAAGTTATAACTCAATAAAGCTGTTTTAAAAAATTCAGAGCTAGAGCCAGCAGATCTAAAGTGCCAAGCAGAACGTACACATACAATTTCAGATAATTTAACTATAATCTTTCAAACTATCGTAGAGTTTTCTATTACAATGAAATTTTACCAGTAAGTGTCCTTTCACCTGCAATAGCTCAACATTCAATAGAGCATTATGTAATTACTTACGGGAAGTATAAATTGATAAAAAATAAAGGGATACTAGACATGAGAGTGGGCAACTGATTTGCCTTGGGAGGGACTCAGCTCAAGCAGCAATAGCCCTTATGGACAATGTACATAATTGTATTGATATACAATCTTGTCACAAATCTCGTACCCAAGCTGAGCATTATTATATAACTGAACACCTGCTGTTATCTCAGCATCCTTGACAGAGTACTAGAATATAATGAAGAAAAACAAATGAAGAAAAATAAATGCAGTCTTATTCAACCATTTCCATGGGAAACAAAACTAAACTGCTGAGTTTTCTTTTCCTGATGCTGAACCAAAGAAATATCACCAACTAAAAAATCCTTCAGTTTAAAAATGCCATTAGAGGTTAGTAACCATATTAAGCACACAAGATCATTTGTGTTTTATCCCTGTCAGATCATGAAAGAATGTATTTTGTAACTTAAAACTGTGAGCTTACTCACTGCAAACTTTGCAGTGGTGCCATCTTTTATGCTGTTTTTGTTTTAAATACCATTACTCCCAGTAGCAAAAAGAAAGAAAGAAAAGCAGCTCATTTTGCCTACTTTATAAAAATTAGTCTGAAAAGCTATAGTCTTCTTTGCACTTAGGGCAATACAGTACTCGCATACAGAGATCACACCTGCCTGCACTGGAGTCACTATCTACGTCTGTGCTCTGTGTGGCTTATCTGGTTTCCCAGCACTCACTTCATCCCATTTTAGCCAAAAGAATAGGACATAGTGCCAACAACATAGCATCACATATAAAGAGTTGACTGAACACTGAAATGGATTTTAAGATGCGTGCCTGTATAGAACACATACATATAAAGTTGTGCATAGGCCCGCTGAATTACCTCAGGTTCTCATTTTAGAAATAAACTAAGTGAACAGCTCAAATTTCAAAGAATTTGACAAATCATTTAGGAATCTTCATTTAAGACAGTCAGATTCAAGGAACTTATATAGTCCAGTTAAGTCATTATAAAATGACTTATTTACACATTTGGATAAATCTAAGAATGTCTTTATTATTTTTCCAGACCAAACGTCTTCATAACTCTGAATATGTGACCTACTTTGTAATGATTTAATGTTTTGTTTTGTTTTTAATGGAAGTTTATGTAAAACACTCATTGAATTTGACTTCCAAGAGAGATTATGCTCCATTGGTGATTTTAAGAAAGCAACAAACATTTTACACAATGGAGACTTTCACTGCTCAATTCAGTATGTCCTGAGGCACACATGAAGAGGGCTTCAGAAAGTTCATGGAAAAAAACTGCATTAAAATTTAGTACTACAGGTTTTGTTCTACCATATTTATGCTTATAATTATGTTTATAATTAAAAATGCTTATAATCACAAAATCAATGGCATAAAGACACAACCATGTATATAATGATGTCCACAAAAGAAAGCTATCAAAACTGAATTGCCCTTGGATTATTCTTGTCGCATTCTTCAAACAATGAAGTTCATCTTTATGAAAAATTGAGAAAGGGTTTTTTTAAACGTTTGTCCAAGCTGTTGTTAAACTCATAGAGCATACTAACAGTAAATCAATATATTTCAGAAAAATTTTGATTTTATGAAATGTGCACAAAGCCCTAAAATAGATGATTTCAACCCAACAGCATCATCTTTGTGCTTTCTCTAAAATCCAAGCAACCAAACGATGCATGCTAAGACACCACTCAGTGTCTTGAGTTTGGAGCTACTCCTTTGCAGATTTCTGCAGAATACTCTCACTCCTAGACACACAGCCATAAGCAAACAATGTGTAAATAATTGTTAAGAAAACAAAAATGCTCTTAGATAACGATTTACTTTAGGAATAAAATAAAATATTGTAATGCTAAACCCTCAAATCTCTAGTTATTTTATAGGCTATCTAAAAGAGAAAAGGCCGGTGATTTTTACAGCGCACATGGATTGAAGAAACAATGGATTCTGGGACCCTGGCACTGAGGCTTGCACCTATACCACCTTTTGCAAGACTTTTTGTAAATCACCATAGAAATTTGTCAAAGTGCTTGCCATGGCCGTGTCTACCGCAGACTGAGGAATCATCCCTCGTAGATCCGTCTGGATATAGCCCGTCAGGAGACTCTGGCTTGTATTGTCTTTCTGTGGAACACAGAACCAACCACAGGGATGGTTATATCCGCGAACAAATTCTGACCTCTTTTCACTCCAGTCCAGGCTTATCCCTACGAGGCAATTAAAAAATACAACTATTAATAGCAGTGATTGACATCTGTCTAAAACTCTCCTTAAAAATACCAGGTTTTTTTGGTTTAAATATTTATCTTATCCACATAGAGGAAAATTAAGCCCCAAGAGTGACTGTGGCAGAACGGAAAAGATAATTCCCAAGTAACATTCAGACAGACGGCAGAGTAGACAGGTAATGGGGAAAATGTTAATCCCTTCGGAGTCTACTACATCATATCATCTTGGTAACTCATTATAAACTATGATTCTTGGCTGTAGCAGCCAGTCCTCGAGATGTCAGTAATCAAACCTTGGGTATCAAAAGCACCCCTATGTTCAATGTTGGTACTGGCTGGAGAAGAATAAGCCAGTAGGTATTTACCTACAGCTGCCACCTTAAGTATATTCTATACATATATGTATACATTTACCTATAGATACATTTTACAATGCATAAGCTTCCCAGTGACAATATTTTTAATCTTAAGTAGTAGACTACTCCACAGCTCAAGTAAGGAAAACTATACCGAAATCCTAACTCTATTCTCACTATTACCAAAAAGCTGCTTTCTGAGTGACTTGGAAGACAGTATATTTAGTAGGTCCCCTTTCTTGGAAAGAGTCAAAAAAAGAAACCAAGCTCGCTGCCATCAAGTCCATGCTGACTCATAGGCCCCTGCAGGTTGCTGAGGCTGCAATTGTTGTCGGGATTTAGTAGAAAGTCCAGTCTTTCTCCTGTGGAGCTGCTGGTGGTTTCGAACAACAGACCATGTGGATCGCAAGCCACCCAAATGTGTTAGCAGTAACTTGTACTGGGACCAAAATCTTATTCATTAAACTCCAAACCCCTATTGATATTATTTTATTCCATAGGGTTTGGCATTTACAAACAAATCTTCATGAACATATAGTAACTATGTAGGTTGGAAATTTATCTCACATAAAAAGAAACATTGAGCCTAGAAAACTTGTTTATTTAAACCAAAATGAAAGAAAGTATGCAGTCTTAAGATTATTACCACAAGATAAAAGTCCTTCTTTATAGTCCACAGTATAGGAGAAATCAACGAATTCTCTTGGTGATATGATATTCCAAAGCTGACCAGCAGTAGTGTACCGCATCACACAGCAGTTCTGAAAGAGAGGAGGTCAGATGGGTGCTACTATTACAGGAAGCATGAAGAATTTATATATCATGCTAATCTTCAGTAAAAAACTAAGACATTTACAATGTTTGCTAATTACTATACACAACTCTTACAGTGATTTCAACAAGTGTAGATAGCTATTCTAAATCTCGATGCTTCTGAACAGACATGGGGAGGATTATAATCAAAATAGAGTGACAAGTTACTTATATTACACAAATCTCTAATTCATCACTGTTGCTGTGATAGTTAGGTTTATTGTGCTAAGTAGGCCAATAGGAACATGTGGGCAGAGATTAATCAGGTCACAGCTTGATTGGAAGGCAACAAGATAAATGGTTCTGCAAGGCCCACCTCCATGTGCCCTGGTGATCCGACCAACATGCTGCTGCTTTAGCTAGTTCTCTGCCTCAACCTGTGTCCTATACTACCTGTGGGTCAAGCCAACCCGTGGATCAAGCCCTGCTTCATCACACTGGTGGTGTGCACATTACTTGAACTTGAGGTTGGTGGATCCTGTCTCCTTGTGTGAGTTCAAGAGCTCATCAGGGCCTGCTTTGCTAAGCTCCCGAGCTACTGACTGTTGCTGACCCACCATGCTGTCTGCTGCCTGCAGACAAACTGCCTGATTTGTCTAAGGGAAGACTCTGCCGTCTGCTTCCTTGACTTTAGACCCAGCAGCCCATGTGAGGTGAAGAACTTCCAGTATATTAACTGTTCCGTGAAAGTGAGTTGAACAGAGCCCTCTGTAAAACTGTGTGGACTATTTAGCTGTTATAATCCTTCTCACTATATAAACCTTTATATGTATATATATAAATCATAAGTGTCCTGGTTTTGTTTCTCTAGAGAACCCTGCCTAACACAGCTGCATTGTATCTCTATGATATACCACATGGAAGCAGGTGGTGTAGATCATTTTAGAGTATTTAAAATCTATGAGGGAAGTGGTGGTTTTGTCCTCCCCCCCC